GGTGGTGGGGGGGGGGGGGGGGCCGTTTGTTGTTACGTCCATGCTTCCAAAAGGGTGTTTTTTTATCTGGTTTTTAAATCTGTTTTTAAACCCTTGGGGGTTAATGATATGAAAAAAGATCCCTGTAATCATCGTTTATAAAGTATGTGTGTTTCCATATCTGTTCTTGTTTGGGGTTTTGTGAAGAGCCCGGGGGATGTTTGGGGGTTTGCGGGTGTCTGGCTGTGAAAAGTCGCAAAACCAAACAGCTCTGTGTTTTCAAATGTCAAAACTCTCACAAAGACAAGCAGGGTTGCAATTCATTTTCCCCTCTATTTGAGTGGGAGAATTGGCCTAAAAAAATAGGGAAAAGACCTTTGTGGACATTAGTCCGGTGCGATAAAACTAGGGACGGGGTATGATTTGTTTTTTCATAGCGCGTCGGAAAGCAGAGATTTTTTCAGACAGCCCTTCCCCATTTTACTACCATTGATAAGTTTTTTGACCAGGGAAAATGTAAAACCCAGGGTTACACGAGCATTTAGTTCAATTCTCAATTTCCCCATTATCTCACGGATTAGTTGAGTTTAAAGATTTAGTTGACTTTTAGTGAATGGTTTGTCCCAAAATGAAGCTTTCGTTTTAAAAATATTTATTCTAGGGATTTTTTGCCCCCCTTCTAAAACTGACTGCCGCTCTTTTTTAAGCGTTGCAGTGGTTTCACTTGCCTGTGGTATCTGACGTGTATAATGTTGAGTCCATCGCAATACATAGATACCAGGCTTAACTCAACGCCAGTGGCAGGTCATTAATAAAGATTGAAAAAAATTATGGGCCTAAACAACTGCCCTGGGAAATGTTCGACTCTACCTGGATTATGTTGGAGAGGCTTCCATTAACGAACACCCTCTGTGTTCTGTTACAGGTAACTCTTATCCACAATATAGCAGGGGGTTTAAAGCCATAACACATACATTATTTCAGCAGCAGATTATGATTGATAATATCAAAAGCTGCACTGAAGTCTAACAAAACAACTTCCGCTTCCCTCCAGGCCTGAGGGCACACACTTTCCTGTAGCTTAAATTAAAGAGATGGAAAATAGTTAGTAGAGCAAGTTAGAGATAAAGAGGAGATTGTGATGAGTACTGATATACGAAGAGGCAGGATGCAGACG